GGTTACAGACAGAATTTAAGATTCTATCCCTTTCTTCTATTTACAGAAGATTGCTCGTTGCAAGAAGACAAACGGCGAATAAACAAACCCGCGCCTGAAACGGAGGCAAACGCTAATTTTAGTCCGGCCATTGTTTTCTTTTTGTCAGACTGGGAGAGCTCAATGAAATGACGATATAATTTAATCCCGGCGGCGCGTTGGTGCAGTAAACACTTTGGCGATCCGCAGACCAATTACAAGATAAATTTTACTCCAACGCGAGTGTCTGGAAAAGTGCCACGTTTCTGTCCGAGCTATACATGTGTGCGTATAACACGTCCGGGGGTGCAGCGCAAATGCCGCAATCAGTTTAGGAGAGCTTGTTGATGTCTCTGCACAAGCAGTCGTCCACATCAAACGACACACACTCTCACCTAAATTACACTCTAAAATTTAGACTTTCATCAGCAAATTTATTTTCTTTGCAAACCACCATAAAATATACAAATGATGATTTTCCCTATTTACTCATTTAGCTTAGAAATTCTGATTCAAATACATTTTTTTTTAAAGATTCATTAAAAATTTTGTAGGAAAAATAAAGTTATTTAAATTTTAAAGGTAAATTTCCATGAATTATGAATTTAAAAAACTGCAAAATTGCACTGTTAATTAAAACAAAGATCTAAGGATTGATATTAAATAAAATTGATAATTTTTTTAGAACTAACAAAAAGTTATGTAAATTAGATAATTTCAAAAGCAGATGCAATTCAAAAAATTTACAGAAGCCGGTCTTAAATTTCAACTTATTTCTCTTCAGTAAAAGAAAAACAAACAAAAAGAATTTAACTGAAAATTTTAATGTTATCAAAATTTTTATTTATATTTATTTTCATCCAAAAAGAATAATAAATTTTAAATCAACCAAAAATGTCATCGAGGATGTGTTTGGAAAGTGTGTCAATTGCGATCGGCAAAAAAGAACGCGCATCTCCCATGTCAAGTGAAAGACAAAAGAAGTACAAAACTCACTTTTCCGATCTGGTTGGGCACGTGGTCATCGTCCTCCTCGTTGATGCTCGAGGTGGAGTGGGAATGGGGAACTTGAAGGTGGTGCACCGCCATTGTCTGTATCACCTCTCGATAAAAAAAGGGATCGAGGGTGGAATTGAACGAATTCCAGCAGCGACGGCCTAGCTGCCTCGCTGACCGACGGAACAATGATCGTTATTTTTGACGTAGCGCGCACCGCCGGCAGAGAAACGACACAATCTAAAAAACAACGACCGCGCCAATTGACATTAATATAAAGTCGCCGCGCGCGGAGACAACAAAAATTAATGCATCGCCACGCCACTGCTGCCCAGTCAATCGAAAGCAAAAATTATAAGCAACCTCCCAAAGCGTTGGGGCTATTTGCGATTTGGGTCGATGGCTTTTCCTAATTTGACGTTTGGAGTCGCATAATTTTTGACTGCTTGCTTCTGGCAAAAACTTGACGTTCAAATGATATAAAAATAGATTTTATTTTTAAATACAAAGCAAAAAACACAAGACATTTACGTTTTGAAAGAAAAAAGGTTATAAGGTCTACGTAATTTCAGTATTTTAAGCTTGTCTCCTTATTACATGAATTTCCTTTTTAATTCCATAGTTTTTGGTGAAATATTAGAACTTGTTTTTTAAGATAAAAAACAATAAAATTACTCTCCTTATTATAGTTTTAATTAGTGTTGAAAATTAGTTGATGCATTTTTTAGCTTGTATCATTTGTGGCACAGCCTAGAATGTTTCGCAACTGTATTTCCTTATCAGTGAGCAGCCATATGTGCAACAAATTTAATTTATATGCTGCTTATTCAATCAGTCAGGCAAGACCGAAAGAAAACATAAAAATGTAAAAAACATTACGAGTTTATGGCATCATCAGCAGGTTCAAATAGGTCGTCTTTAATAATATATATTTCGCGCTGGGCCAGAAATGGAGAAAATTGCTCTCGAGGATATATATCCGAGTGTTTGCAAAGAGGAAAAAAAATGAGCGCGCAAGCAAACAACGTTGTGCGCAAAACCAAATAAATTCTCCAAATAACTGGATGAAGCGCCTGCAGAGGAGAGCAGCCAGAAAGAAGCATCGATTGTCGCGGCAAAAGAATTCCCTTTGGGGGTTTGTTGGATACGTGAAGGCGAATTTGTTGTCCTGAGTGGGTGCGCGCGCGATTCCTTCCGATTACAGGGGCTTTGCCGCAGTGGCCGACGATGTTATCTGCTAAATTAATTTGTCCCGAAATAATCCAGATTAGTTACAGAGGAAATAAACATTAGATAAAAAGACGAAATTAATTAATGAATGGAAAGGGAATTTTTTTGTATAAATTGAGATTTACACCCGGATACCTGCTTTTTAGCTAAGAGAAGAGGGATCGAAGGAGCCGCTGGAGAAGAGGAAGAGCGGAAAGTGGCCGCGACCGGGCTATTTTTGCGGCCGTTCGGACGCACCCGCAGCCGAGCAGGTTTTCGCCGCGACTGCGAGCCGCTTGCGGGAAAAGGGCTCACATGCTTCTCTGGGTGAATCAATGCGCCACCCGCCGCCACCGCGTTGGGCCGATTGCCAAAAGTGCGCCGCCGCCCCCGATCGATGCAAAGCCGACCCCGACCTCCCCCACCCGCGTGCGAATTAACCCCCACCTGACGGACGAACCCTCCGAAGGTCGCTTGGGAAAGTCGCCAGAATTCCGCGACCGCTTTAACTAATCCTCTGCTTCTTCTTACTAAGGCTCAAGATTTCCCGCGCACCTTTGACCACGTTGGAAGAATGGCGCGGATCGTGCATTCATTAACTTCTGAGGAGGAAAAACTAGGCCGCGGGGGTGGTTGAGTGGAGGGTGGGTGGAAAGGGCGGCTGCGTCACCCCGCGAAGAGGCTGCTTGTCTTTGTTGCGCTACACTGGAGTTCGCGCGTCTGATTAAATAAAATGAGACATTTTGCCTTTGGCCGGTCACCAACTTTTTGAATTTTTGGCACTGCGTTGGAATCTCAACCGGTGCGACCTTGACCTGACCGAGAGTGTCTCTCAACTGGAAATGTTATTGCGGAGATCGTAAAATATGGCCTTATATTTTTATGGCTCCCAGGCATTGCGTGGATATGTAAATTTTTGGTTAAATTAGATTTCAGAGAAAGTGTTATTATCTCTAAGTACGTGCAAACGACAGGACAATTTTATAGAACCAGGTAAATTTTTTAAAAGGTATGATCCTATTTCTGCATTTAGTCACTCAGAACTAACAATAAGGAATAAGGTAATGCTTTTATATAATTCGATGAAACTTTCTGTGCATTTCTCCCACTCTTTTATTTAGTAACCCCAATTAACCCTATAAGAGTGAAAAGCTCTCTTTGAGCTTACATTTTTCTATATGACCATGTAATTTTAAACGATTTGAAATCGAATTAGAAAAACAAAAAGGGCAGAAAAATTATTAAATTTTAATCTCTCATCAAGGAAATGATAATATTTTTCAATACAGGCGTTAATTTTATCTGAAAAGTATTAAGTCTTCCTTTTGAGGAACAAACAACAAAATCGGAGCAGTTAAAATATTATTATATGTCCTTCGTAATAAAGTATCAAAAATTAGAGGAAATATCCAGGGGTGCAGTATTAGTTTATTTATTTATTTTTATTTTACTATTTTTTATGTATTAATTTATAATCTTTTTTGTAAAAATAGGGCTATAATAAAATTATTATAAAACGTGCCCTTCACCTAGTTTTAATCTTTAATTTCTAATCAAGAAACAAAAGTGTTTGTTTACTCAAATCTCTGCAGGTTTATCTATCACCCATTCTCAAGTTTAACAAGCCTAATTAAACCATGGCTATAACCCTTTAAAGTTTTTTCCTGGTCTCTTATCTTTTGAACCGTCACAAAACTATTGGGGCTCTGTTTTCTCTAAGGGTTTAAGAGCAATCTTGATAATCGGCCTAGTTTCCAAGCCAGGGGATTACAGAAGATGCGAGCTTTACTTGCAACGCATTGAGGATAATGAGGATATAATAGTTTTTTTTTGTAATGAATAAATAATATATAATACCATAAGATTAATATAAATTTAAATTAATTTATATTTATTGATATTTATGGTGTAAATTTAATTTTAATGCTGAAAGTTTGTTTAAAAAATCTTGCAATTAAAAAATTTAATTTTAATATTTTGGTGCGACAAATCCAGCTCATTTTTAAAAATGATACTGACGCTGCCGCGGTGGCATTAAAACTGTGCAAAACTTTGAAACTTCACTGCCACGACTGCGAATTCTGCATTATGATTGGATTTTATCTAGCAATGTAGCAGCAACGAAAACGTCGCGTTGTATTTCACTCCAAGGCTGGCGAAATATTACATGAGCGCCTTGTTCGGCGCCGAATGTGGAACAACAAGCGGGATAGGCAACCAGCCAAAAGCTTTATTGTAGTGAAAATGATTTAAAGTGTCATTTCCCTCGACACAGAGTTGGCCAATCCAATTAATTTTTCAACTGCACAAGTGTATCCAGACAGAATAATAAATGAATAGAAGTAGATAAAATCAACGGATCAATTTTAACTTCAAATTATTTGATCAACACTTTTTAAACAAGAATCATATTTCAAATACTTTAAAAATATTCCAATTGATCTTGCATAAAATGTAATTAAAATTTAATTAAAAATTTCTTGAAATTTAATTAAATTATATAATTGTAACAAATTGATTTATCAATTTTTAATTTAAAATCACTTGCGTAATGGTTTTAAATTATTTTTCAAAAACAAAATTTCGAGCCTTTCTGACAACACTTAAATTGTTCAACCTAATTTTTAATTTCTTCAGACAATATCTCGATCTGTAAAATAAAACATAGCCACCATCTAGTGGCAGATACCAACACTCGAGCGCCGCGTTAGCCAAAAGGGGTAAATTTGAACAAAGGGTGGGAAATGAATCAAATAAGTAAATGGTAAGCACAATACCTGAGCTGTAAGAGTCGTTTGACGAAGCTGAGAGTGAGCGGCTCCTGTACCTATTTGACTTCTTCATGGCGCCGGAAGCCCTGCCCGTCTCCTGAAACACCGGAGTTGACTGAATGATAACCTCCATCCATCATCCTTCGGGCGCGGAGGAAAAACTCTCACGCATCAACACCAACAAGATTAGAGAGATAATCAAAAATCCTGGTTGCTTATCACGCGGACAGCAGTTTGTTATTAACATTCATCGTGTAGGTGGTGAAAACATAATTAACTCTTGCAAAGGTGCATAATTAATTACATGGTAAATAGATAATTGAAGTTGAGGGCAACAATAAGAAGTGTTGTTAATGAAATGTTGACAGTAAATGGAACGACGAGGTGGCAAAATCATTCCAAACAGAGAGAGCATTAGTGATTTGCAAAATCGGGTCGAGGACACTGGGGGTGAAAGGGTGGAAAAGAAAATCAAAAGATATGCATGCAAATGAAGATGAGAAGAATCTTTCATAATTCCTACTCTTGGCCGTTATGCTTTATTCAGCAGCTCAAATCATTCCCTGCAACTCAACCAACCCATTATTAAAAAATTTTTAATTGAATAAACAGCCAAAAAGAGTATGAATATTATAATTTTGTTACAGAGCATTAAAATTTAATAAAACTCAATCCACACCGAGCAGAAAATACATAAAGAGAGACAAGTTCGAGCAAAAAGTGAGGTGCGCGAGTAAATGTTCTCACATGAGTCCTTGCGAATCCCCGAGCATAGCGGATTACCACAACAGGGCCCTCATTGGCGTTCAACAGCTGAAATTAGTCCAGAAAGCCATTGTCCATCAGAACCACCACCAAAGAACTTTGAATTATGTAATTCATGATAGAAAAAAGTGAAAGAGAAAATTAAAAGTTGAATGGTGAAGCAGTAAATAATAAAAGTGAAGGAAGGACTCTCTGAAATGAAAATTCTAATGACACAAACTACTTCAACTAATTATTGCAAAGTACGGCAGTGCTTCCTAAATTTCTAATAAAAAAATGCATTATATCAAAGATGATAAAAGTTTGCAATCTGCAAATTAATATTAATAATTTTTTCCTTCTACTTGCAGACACCAAGCTTCTTAAAAAAACCATTAACAATTAAAGCATCGTGAAAACATCACAATAAAAAAAAAAAAATGAAACTGCCCGAATTTAAGGTTGCGAAGGAACAAAATTGTAAATAGCACTAATTGAATGAATTGCTAAGAGCAAATTATTCTTGGTTCCAATAATTGAAAACTCAAAGAGAGAATAATTGAAGGTCGCAGGCCAGATTAATTTGTTGGTCTTTCCTCTGTTTGAGACCGCAATCCAGCGAGTGAAGGCGAAGGAAAAGAAGAAGCGGCACCAGTTGTCCATCGCGAGTGTTTTTCTTTCCAATTAACAGTAGAGGGACTCACCCTGTTTGCGACTGAGACGACTGCCGTCGAAGAGCTGCTGATTGCGATACCCTGCGAAAAAAATCATAAATTAGCACCTGATTGGTCACAAAAGTTCAAAGCATTGAAAGCATATTTTTCTCCTGAAAATTTGTGCAACAAAAAAATCCTCCTTTTCGGAAAGGAGAATGATTTATGGAGGGTGATTATATGCGCACCTGTTTTGCACTTTGGGTTTTTGTTTGGCTTGGGATTTTCTCTCTGACACATTATATGTGGAGATAAGAGGAAAAATTTGGTGTAAAAATACATGTTAAAAGTGGAAGGCCTTGAAATTTTATGATCATGTTCACCCAGAAAATTATGTAATAATAGTAATTTTATTGTAAATTTATATCAAAAATTCCGAATTAAAAAAGAAAAATAATACATTCATGAATTCAAGAGGGTTTATCTTTTATCTGGCAGTAAGATGGTCACACTCGTACAGCATTAATAATCAGTTAATCACATAACGTTATCTAAAGCTGTATAAAAGCGCAAGAGTAAAGAATTATAAAACAAGTTAATTAAGACAATATAATATTGAAAACGTGTCATAATGAAAAGAAAATTATGCTGCTTTTATAATTCATATTTTTTCCTTAAAGACAAAACAGACTTATGCAAAAAAAAAAAAAAAATACAAAAATATGTATTGATAAACAAGGACAGGACCAAGGACCAAACGAAGATCTTAAGTTCATTGTTGCAAAAATTCCTTAAAATCAAATCTCAAAATTTTACATATTATGCGAAATCAAAGAAACAACCCCCAGCTGTTTAAAGGCCACCCCTTCGACACCCACCCCAACTCGACCTTTCCCTTAGCCGGGGGTGGAAATCCCTTTTCCAATTCAGGTCACCAATATGCGTACCTCCGCCGAAGTTCTTTCGGTGGAGCCGGGGTCAGTGACGGGCATGTCGCAGATGACGGCGCCGTCAGGACTGCCGCCTTTAATGAGGGAGGCCACGGGGGCTTCGGTCTCTGCCATTGCACGTTGGTGCGGAGGAGCTGCTGGACTCGGCGAGGACGCGACTGCGACCGTCCAAGAGAGCACTGCACTTCTTCTATCTAAGTGCTCGACTCGACGACTCGGTAAGGACACAGGCGGGCTAGCTGCTCAAGGGACCCATCGACATGCGTTCGCGAACGACGTTTTGTATGTTTTGTGCTAAGTAGCCAAATCTCGCCAGAACTAAATGGTCTGGGCGAGAATTGAATCGATCACATCGATCAGAATGCCAAAATTGTAATTAATTTTGCGCAAATTTGTCTCAAAATGTGGCAATCTGAGCATAGACTATTCAAATATTCGTGTGCGAGAGAGTGAAATAATTCTCGCATTGATTTTCACTGAAAGTTACACAAACTTTCCAAAAATAAACATCACTGCTATCGACTTTTGATGTACCAACCGGCCCATCCCACTGTCCCAGACCATGAGACCACCCAGGCAGGTGACCGAGATTGGCTCCACTCTGCCATCTACCGCAGTGCCCTCGAATCTCATTTCTGCAAGGGTCGATGCGTTGCTTTTTGACCTCAACTCTTGTCCAGCCAGAATCCGCCAAGAAGTCTCAGTCTTTCTTAAGCCACCTTCCGAGTCTTGGACTTCCACAAATCCACTAAATTAATAAATATACGTAAATTGCGCTGATAAAGAACAATAATTCAAATTGAATCCAAAATGAGCAATTTTTTTTTTAAATTTTTGCATAAAATTATTTTTTGTGTTAATTAAAATGCTCGTATTAGAACGGTTTCCTGTCAGAGATACATAAGTTTTATTTCTTTTAACAATTTCTGGAAATGCCCTAGCAGGAGGTCATTATTTGGAATGATTCTCTAACTCAGTCGATGTGAATCGATCCGTTCTTTGGGGGGCTGACAGACGATTCACCTGAGCCGGGAATTCCCAAATCGTGAGCTCTTACATCGTGTCCAGTACCAGCATAACAACATAAGAACTTTTTGTAGAGGCAGGAAAAGTGTTCTACTGAAAATCAACTGCTGCTTCGTGGCGAATTTATTTACAGAGCAGAGGCGCCAGAAATGATTTCAATCAACTCTCTGGTGATGACGGCCTGGCGAGTTCGGTTGAAGGTCAAACTCAACTTTTCAATCATCTCACCTGCGAGTCAAGGAAATATTGCGTTTAAATTTTGTCACAGATTTTCCCTTTTAATTTCATACCAGCATTCTTAGAGGCGCTGTCCATGGCAGTCATGCGAGAGGACTGTTCGCTGCAGGCTCCCTCCTTCATGGCGTAGTACAAAAGGGTGGCGATCGAGAACTCAAGGTAGCTCTGAATGACCTCAGAATCCAGGGAATCGTAAACTGAGAGCTTAGGAGCATTCGAAACTGCGGTCAAGCTGAACAGAGGCAGCTCAGTGGTGGTGTAGGACACAACAGATCTAAAAAAATTAAGATTTATAAATACAGAAAAAAACTTCACAACTAATCATTCATTTAGTTTATCGATGAAAACTCACTTGAATTTGTTGTAGACAATCTTGCCAGAGGCAAATTCATATCCGCTGCTGAGGATGGCATCAGCAAGAGCTCCAGCATCGGCAAAGGTTGGCGGTTTGCGTCCAATTTCCTTGCCAACGAAAAGAATGTGTTTTCCGTATAATCTAAAAAAGTAATTTCATTACAGTAGGTTTTATAAAACTGTTGAGAAGTATTTGCTGTAAATGATTTAAGAGCTCTTTGATTTGCACCTGCTTTTTGTTTAAAAGCCTTATCGTTAATAAAGAGATAAAGCGAATTTATTCCATACCTTTGCAAAATAGCCCTCGACTTATCTCCAACACACACAACCTTGATGTTTTCAGCGCCAGGCTGGCTCAGCTCATTGCGAATCAGACGTGAAACGGAGGTGTGGACAGCGCCGCACAGACCTCTGTCAGAGGTGATGGCGACAATCAGCTGCTGAGGCTTTCCCTCCTCAGGGGCAACTTCCGCCTTCTCGTAGAAAGCCTAAAATTATAATATTAAATTTAATAACCCTTCTTTGTGACAAATTTTTATCAAACCAACCTTGGCACCCAGACCGAGGGGTCGGGCCTGCTTGAGTTCACGCTCAGCCTTGGTGTACTTGGCAGCGGACACCATCTTCATGGATTGAGTGATCTTCTGGATGTTTGTGACCGACTTGAGGCGCATCTGGATGGCCTTCAGGGTGGCCATGCCACGCACCTGTTGGTGCCCACTGAAAGAAAATCAGAGTCATTATATGATTTTCGGAACTTTTTCTGCAAAACTGTGCCACAAGCCGCAAAGCCGTATGTTGACCTGCGATTTTTAATCCAATTTTAAACCCATTTTATCTGCACTTGAAGCTCCAAAATCAGTCAAAATTTGAGGAAAAATTAATCAAGTAGCGATATTGAGATCGAAGTTGAGAAAATTAAGCTTAATTACTCACCATACTGGGGCCAAATTCAAAGCTGGCCGGAACATTGCTCTTCTGTTCCTTCGGATAATGGAGGAAGGACACTGCTGCGCGCAGTAACCGGCTTTTGTTTGCTACTTTCAATATCATCCGCTGCACATAAGTTGGCGCTGATGCTAAAAAATTTCAAACTTCCCTCTCTATTTGTCTTAGGGAATTTAATGTTTGTGACCAATGAGAAATCGCTTTGATTCATATCTTGAGATTCTATTGGATACATTAAAAAATCGATGAATTTTGACTTCGTTGATTGGTTGATTGCGATGAGGGCGTTTCCTTTTCCTCGCTGGGCCTTGCATTGCACACTTTGCTATTTTAATATTTTTAATTTCACCGCCATGGTCGGGAAGTGACCGGAATTTGGTGAAAAAACTGGCTACAATTAATTTGCCAAACTTCCAATACGAAGCAAAATTACTCTCCCGTGAATTGGTTTGCTCAGCGCTCATATTGTGTGGGTTAACAATCAGGAAATCTTCAAATAAATTACATCTAAAAGTTTAGCAATGTCACTTCCATATTAATACACGCTGAGGCAAAGTTGTACTTTTTTTTATCTATAAATCGCGTTGATTAGTAGTTTTCCTTAATGTAATATTTTTCAGTATTCTCCCTTCTGTAATACTTGCAGTTTAGTTGTTTATTTTCAAAGTTTGACTTTGCACAGGACAACAAGACAAGTTGAAAGTGTAAAGCCAGCATCGCAGTGCACATGGCAGCGTCGAGGGCTGACGCAGAAGTTACATCGACCGTCAAGTCTGGCTCGGACAGCATGTACGATGAGGACGATGAGGTCCTCAGGATAAGCTACAGAGATGTCCCGGATGACTTTTTCGACAGCTTGGTGACGGACGAGTGGTCGGGAGAGAAGAGCAACTCAAGAGATCGTGCCGGACCTTCAAAAGAAGAAGATCTGCGTGTCGTGATCAAGGAGAAGAAGTCAATAGGAGAATCTTCTAGGAAGAGCGTCAACGAAAGAAGAAAGACTACGGACAGTGACAAGAGGAGCGACAATGGAAAAGAACCTGTAATTGGTCCTCGAAGGTCTCGAACTCCAGAGAAGCGGAAGGGAGGTGATGTCAAAAGAGGCTCACCCAAGCGACGAAGGTCTATTTCGCCTCGGAGGAGGTCCAGGTCTCCTCTGCGAAGACCGCCGCCTGCTCGTCGCAGATCACCTTTGAGGAAGCGGTCTCCCTCACCAAGGCGTTTATCTCCAAGAAAGCGTTCTATTTCACCTAGGAGGAAGTCTCCAGTGCACCGAAGGTCATCGCCTCGGAGGAAGTCTGGCTCCAGAAGTCCGAAACGTCGCAGGAGTCCCAGTCCGGACTTGTTCTCGGCTCGAATGAACAGCCGTAGAAACAGGCCGCGAAGAAGCACGTCGCCCAAGAGGAGTCATTCCACCAGTTTGTCACCTGAAAATACCAACTCCAGGTACAGGGAACCCATGAAGTTGGGAATGTCCAGAATTAGAGGAAGGACTCCACCACGAAGCCGAACCCCACCACAAATGAGGAGAAGTCGAACTCCTCCAAGGCCATTCTTGCCTGGTGCAATGCCAACTATGGTAATTTTTTCCCTTAAAATTAAAAATAATTTTATGCATACAAATAATTTATTGGCTCTTTAAATTTTTATAATTTTAATAAAATTTTTATAAATTCTTTTAGGTGTCTCAACCGTCTCTAGAGGAAATTGCTAGTGGTGCCGTGACTCCTTATGGGATGCCAGCCTACCCTCCTTACCCTGGCCAGATGATGTACAACTACCCTCAGGGCCCATACCCTGCCCCCTTGATGTCTGGCTATCCTCAGCATCAGTTTCACGGCGTTGCAATCCCGCCAGTGCCTGGAGTCGACGCATCAACTCTATCTACAGCCTATCCTCTGCCTCAGCCTGTACCAAAACCAACCGATAATGTAGAATATCCACCGGTCGTACCTTCCAAGCCAACTGTGAAGCCAAAACAAAGCAAGAAAGCACCTCCACCACCTTCTTTGGCTTCTTTGGACACTTCTATGACAAAGGATAGTTTAACTGTGAGAATTTAAAAGAGAAAAAATTGAACATTACCAAATAATGTTTTTTTGCATTTCAGTCTGCAATGTCTGCATCAAGTGTTTATGAAGTAGAGGATCCAGGCACAAAGAAAAGCATGAAACTTTCAGACTACCTTGCTTCGATGACTGGTAAATTTTATTCATTTTGTTTGCTTTTAATATTGTATGATCAAATAAAAATTAGCTGCCAGTCATAAGCCAATGGAGTACAAAAAACACGTGGACGACCGTATCAAGGCTGCAATTGCAAAGTTCGATGCTACTTTCCTGCAGCCGCTTCGATTCCACGTCACACCTTCGACAGTCACCATAGCTGAGAAAGAGAACACAGGAGTTTCCAACCCCAACCAGTCACCCCTGCTGAAAAACCCAACAGTCAAATTGGGTAACTTGATTCGACCCTTGAACCTGCGTGCCTTGAAGATTCCTGACAAGCCACAGTTTGTGTGCAAAAAGCCTGAACTGGCTCCCCCGAAGCCGGAGATTTCCATCAAGACTCTGCTGTCCAAGAAACAGCCTGTCAAGAGGGACACCTGCACATCCCCCATCCCAGTTTTGACAGAAGATTCGTGGTGCCAGACAGACCCGATTCCTGAGCCGCCACCCCCCGTCTGCTACGAATGTGAAGAGCGCAGCAGGAAGACCTACATGAATCACTGGACTCAGGTGAAGAGGGTTGAGCTAGTCAACATGGCCATCCAGACTGCTGATTTGCCAATCCCGCCGATGCATCGTCTAGGACCGCCGGTTGATCCATTTGAGGAAGATTTGAGACACAGTCTGCAGTCAAGGACTGTTTCTCCGTGGGAGTACAACAATGAAGTACTGGAGGACGAATCTCCTCGTCATACACCAGAATTATTGGTTTGTAGTTTTCATTATTTTCTTTCATGTACTTTAATGATTTATTCAACTGTCGATCCTTTTTAGCAGATATATTCTCAAAAGGTTATTACATTTTAAATACTTAAAATATTTTTGTTATATGTTTTATAATGTTTAAGAGGTGAAGTGAGAATAAAATAATAAGATAATTTAAAAAATCTTATTACATTATTCTTTTAAACTTTTCAAATAACAATTAAAAAACAAGAATTTCAAATTTTTTTTTATATTTATTAATTTCTTCGTATTTTTTTTAATTGGCAAGTAATATTTTTTAACCTCATAACTTCCTGAGATACTTCAGAGGAAAATCTTCGGCCCATTTTATTAATCTTCTCAATATTAGAATTACAGCTATTTCCTAAGTTTCTCCTCACATTTAAAATGTGCATTTGGTATCAGATGGGCCACAGAGAAAGATCAAGGAGTCCACCACCAAGGTACATCTCTCCTCCGCCATACATCCCGCACCAGCCGATCTACAATTCACCTCCTCATGAGGTCTACCGCTCGCCATCTCCTCCACCGAGGTACATCCCGTCTCCTCGTCGCTCTCCTACACCACCACCACGAAGGAGGAACAGCTTCTTCTGTGGAGAGTGCAACATCGAGATGAATTCGGAAGCTCAGCTGAACCACCACCGTCGGACTCAGCGCCATCTGCAGAGGTTGGAGGTCATGGAAAGTGAACGTAGGGCCCAGTACGAGAGGCCCGCCTATGACAGAGCTGATCGCAGAGGCCCTCCGCGGCACTCAGACAGCGGCAACTACTCTGGAAGTGTGTGGAACATCAGGAAGCCCTATTAGAGCTACTGACTTTCTGTGAGTTTTTGTTCCAAATTTTTATTATGTTCCTTAATTTGGAAATCTATTTTCAATTATTTAAATTCAATACATTTTGGGTATATTATAGATCTGTGGCATAATTCATCAAACAAGGGAATTACTGATGAATCTGAATAATCAATCTGAAACTTTCATAACTTGCAATAAAATTAAATAAGAACTAGGCTAATTAATGAACTTTAAATTTACTCATTCTCAAAGCTTGATGATCCATGACTTGAACAAAGGTGTATCTGAGAAAATTCCGCATCTTTGAAATTTATAAACTTTACTATTTTCATAAGAAAAAAGTACAGTTTAAACATTGTGTTCATTTTTTTTTTTTGCAAATTTTCTGCAGGTGTGACCATATTTATTATGAATACCTTCAGTTGCCAGTTAATAATAAAATCAGTGTTAAGACCTTTGGCTACAATAAATTGTGCCACATTCTGTACTTAGATTAAGCTGAAATAGCTCTTAGTTTGTGTCTATTATTCTCGAAAGTAAAATTGAATGTAACTGAAATAAAGGTAGAGCCTAAAAATAATATGCACAATTTTCTTTCTTTTTTCAATCAAGATGAAGGGTTAATGAAATAATAGGCGTGTTCTCTTGTATTTCTAATTTGCAATAATGCTTTTATTAAGGAAAGCTATTGTGTGATCACTATAAAAACATCTCTATGACAAGCAAATCAATGTATGCATACAGAAACATTATTCCAAAACACTTTTCTCACTTAAAACTTAATCCGAGATACAATATATTATATTTTTATCAATACTCGTCGTCGATCAAAGTACGATTTCTGGGATGCTTGTAAGTTTTTATTTTTTATTTAACCTTTCTCACAGAATATTAATTTGCACTGATTCAATCTTATAACATCAGCTGTGAGAGGAATGTGAGAATACATAATCATCATGTGTGTGACTGCGTGTGTGAGAATCAACTGGAAAATCAGAAAAAGACGGAAAAATCTTTTCCCGTTTTGTTTTTTACATCGTCATGATATGTCATCGACAGAGATACACTCGGATCAGATAGAGAAACTTCTCACAACCAAACAAGAAAAACTGTCATTTATTGCGAGTACTGCGTCGAAAAGATGCCTTGATAAAAACGGTGAATTTCTTCATTTTTTTATATTTATTTTCAATGTTGCACTTTTCCTAACAATTCCGTCTTTAAAAGAGTGGATCAGTTTAGTTGTACATTTTGTGCAAAAAGGAGAGCTAAAACAATTGATTCATATTATTTTGTTTAGTATTTTTTTTTGTCACGACGCCATATACAAACCAACAACTTTTTACATTCTGCAGTCGTTTTTTATGTATAAGGTTCTCACAAGTCGGGGGCATTCTTTGTCAGACTAGAGGTTTCGAGATTAAGACTCTTTGACTAATAATAGGTACATAATTCATTCCAATCGGTTACTTGAATGCAAACAAGTCTTGTCAAAATTAACTTCTTCAGTGGCAGACAAACGCATATGGTTCTTCCTGACCTTTGAGGTCCAAGTTTTTGCACATTCCAAATGATCAACAATCACATCATCAACACATTGGAATGGATAATAATATATTTATTTTCGCCTTGCAAGAAGTCCCATTGAATCTAGATTCGGGACGACGGGCGATAACAAATAAGGTACGTTTTGTATCTCTTGTTAAAATTAATATCATTGCACGTGTTTTTCTTTTTAATGATGCACTTCTAAAATAAAATAAAAATGGAATATATAATGAAGTAATTGAGTTCCAGAATGCCGCATTTTCTTATTTGTCTTGTCCAATATATTACACGATAATAATTGGTGATCGCCGAATTTTCCATTCAATTATATAAAAACCATTCAGTGATTTTATCCGATACATAACTACGTACACCACATATGCACTCGATTTTTGGTTTAATTAAATACAATTTTTTTGCACATCTCGTCATTACTTTTGGGGTGGTTAGCTTTTGGTTTTGTCAATAAACGCGCGCTTTCTCTTTCTACTTTTATAATTCTCAATCCTGCGACTTTTCGGAAACAGTTATTATTATTTTCATCAACTTTTCTAAATTCTTCTCGCATTCTATGCTCAATCCAGCGATCTCGCTTGTTCTGAAAACCCACAATTAAAATCCTTTTTTCCAACGCGATTTTTATTTTTATTGCAGATTAAAAGACTTTTTGATCAGTTTCAGGGGGAGCTTTTTCTCTCTCGCGCTCTACATGTACATTTTACAACAATTTTCTCGCTCTCGTAATTATATATAATTATACTCAGCATATGCAAAATGATTTTTAGAATATTAATTAAGGGTTTTTGCTAATCGATTCGGCAATTAGAGGGTGTGTGTGTCTTGCTTGATTCATCGAATGCCTACGCGCATTATTTACAGACTTGTTCCTTAAGTACCATTGTTTATTTTTAAATTTTATACATAACACATTCACTGACTTGACTGATTCTTCTTACGTGCTATTTCAATAGCAGAGGAAATATATATGTTCTTTTTACAACAGAGCACAACGGTTTCAGGGTCAAACCTTGCGAGGGCACAGGGGTAATTCGCGCACTAATTTTCATTCTGTGGATTCATGTCTATATATTTTGGGTTTTAATTACTTTTTGTCCCGATTCCAACGTACAAATCAATCAATGTAGTATTGCGTGTTAGTCCGTCGAAAAATCTTTCTTTCTTTCTTGATTTTTAAACGTGTTTTTTTTTACAGTTTCCTAAAGATCGTCGTTCGATAGAAAAATAAATGGTTTTCAATCAGTAAATTGAGAGCTATGGAGCAAAAGTGTGTGTACGTAATGAGCGACAACTTCTACGTCTTATTGTGTTCCTTTCTTTGTTTGTATTATTTTTAACGGAAAACTACACCGAATAAGCATCGATTCTCTCGTAATATAAATATTGTTGAATATAATGTCATTTGAACGCGTGAGATGATTGGTTTTTGCGCAGGTGCGTCCGTGTATGTGTGGGTGTAAAAAAGGGTCTGTACAAGGTTTTTACACTGCGATTTGCATATATTCATAATGATTTTCCATCGATTATTATCTCTATGAGCTACAAAAATCCACATTCGTCGGAATATAATTCTTTTTTTTTCAATACTTCCAAGAAATGCGCACACCAAAAGGCTATTGCTCGAGAAATATTTATGTGTCCCATTTTTGTTTTTCATCGATTTGAAAAACCGTCTGCACTGTCTTAGTAAAGTTAGCATTCGAGGCAGCCAAATCAAGTTAGCACTATACTTGCGTACACAAAAAAGAATATAATGAGATCGAATTTAATAAAATAAAAATCCTGCTCTCTTTTGTAAAATGACTAGAGCCTTAAACTTAAATATATTAGCCTTGAAAAAGCAAAGCTACCGACAGTAAAAAACGGAATGAACAATCACAAAAATGACTAAGGGAGCACAATACACGCTCGAAATTCAATCACAATAATTCTCAAATCAAAGGGGAATGTTCGGGGGTTACACATTTTTTTTTTGTGATATTCGCTTAAAACACTACATTTGGGTCCCTGAACTCGACTAGAGCTGGTTACGATTTTTAAAAACCTGTCTGACCTCAACTATATAGATAGAAGAAGACAACAAACAACGAATCTCGGCCGTGGAAAACCAAACAAAACTCAACAACCAAACAATTTCTATAAGCAGCAGTCACTCGATCGACCCTTTCTCCTTCCAGCACCGATCTTTCCTCTCCCAGCAGATTAAAATATTTAAAAATTAATGTGTAGATATATAAATTGCGAGATGATTCTTTTTCTCTTACTTCGGCCAAACGTGTTGCAGAAAGGGAAGAGCAAGAAAGTTCGCCTTGTTGTATTAAGAACAAGTGAAGGCGGGTGCGAGGAAAACACAACTTTTCCATCATCAAGTGCCCCACGGAATGAATGGGAGAAATGACATCTGGTCACTATTTACTTCTCACTCCGCCCAATACATTTATATAAAAGCAAAAAAAGACGCAGTGAGCCGTTTTTGAATCTTAAAAATAATTGTCATTTCCGTAAAAAATCAGACTTTGGGCTGCTGGGAAAGTGTCGGCGCTGCACGGGGAGGAAGGGGTCGCTTTGCTGGCGACGAGTGTTTTTGGCGAACGGCCTGTGCCTCAGAGAAACACCAAATGTTCATTGTTGCGGTGCGAGGCGTCGTCCTCGAAGCTGTTGTGTCACAAGGAGTCGCTCGCGTGAATGGTCACCGTTTGCTGCTGAAGACTTTGCTGGGCACTTGGGCCGACCTGCACCACCGTCGTGTTGGTCGTCTGCTGCGGCGAGTTCTTCGCCGACGAGCCCGACCCGTCCAACAGCGTCTCGTCCTTCCACTTGTCCATCGAGCGGCGGCGCGCGTTCATGAAGAAGTTGCCCACCGTGGTCGGCTCGAGGCCCAGCTGCCGGGCGATCGTCACTTGCATCTCCTTCGATGGCCTCTTTGTCTCCTATTTGACAGAAAGTGAACCAGTTTTATTTTGATTACTCATTGTTGAAACAAAGTTATGCAACTGGCTTGACACGTATGCTTAACAGGTTGCCTAGCTTACAAATTTAAGGGTATGTTGCATTTTATAAGAAAAATTACGTTGAATTTTAAGAAAGGAAGGAATTGTTAATACAAAATTTAATAATTTAATTAAATACCAAAGAAAAGACTTTTTGCTTTCTTTTTAAAATAGTGAGAAATTGTCAAAAAAGATTAATAAATTGAAGTTAAAATTAAGAAAAGGTATAATAAATAAAAGTAAAATTACCAAACATTATGAAAAAAAATACGTGAACTTACTTCACTTTCAATTTTACGTGAGAAAATACCAATTATTATAGGACTCTATACTGCCATAATCAAATTAAGTAGTTACAACAGTGGTGGTTTAACTTTTAATTATTTTTTGCCTAAAATAGCACCTACTGTTGTAAATACTTGATTTTACTATGAAAATTAAATAAATACAAAAAGATTCTTAAATTCCGTATTTTTTTTTTAATTAATAATTTTTAAATAATATTTTGAAGCTAATTTTCTTCATTACTTTAAAAAAATTGCAGTAAATGTTAAAAATTTTATTTTTTCAATCGGAGAAGTGAATTTAAGCTTTTGCTGGGGCGAAATTTCAGCCAATCGGAGCATAACGAAGTCTCAGTTTGCTTAGACTGATTAGTGTTGAAATTGGAAAAGTAAACGGCAGAAAGCGGGCAATTAGCATGCAAATGCGACAATTACTATTCAAAGCGCGAGAAATCACCTTAAAAATAGCCTGTAGCGTACGCCGCTGGAGGTCGGTGAAAACCAAGCGCGGCTTCTTGGGTGCAGGCGGATGCTCTTGTTGCTGCTGCTGCTGTTGTTGAGTCTGTGGGTCTTCTTTCCTCTTGCAGGCTACAACAGAGGTACATACTACCATTGAAAAGATTGAATAGTCTTATCAATTCCATAAAAATCCAACTCATTGGAAATTTTTCTCGAATTATCCTTAAATTGCTTAAAATTTATTCCCGAAGAAATAATATAAATCAAGTTTTGCAAAAGGGAAATTTTTAGAGTAAGTAAAAGAGACGCTGTCAGTCACTTCTGCCCTTGTTTGAACAAATTGGTCGCGCATTTAAATTCGGACGAATTTGAAATGCAAAGCAATCCGCCGCCTGTGCTTTTTCTTTGCTCAGGCCGAGCGATGGGGCGGACATTTTTCTCGCCCGCCGCCGTTTTAATGAAATATATAAGCAGAAAACGGGGTAGAGTTTAAGGGAGGAGGATATTGCGATATTATAATGTGTGTGCGCGTCGCAGCTGCTTTCCGCGTATAAATTGGCGCGCTCTAATCCGGCCGAAGCTGCTTTCCAAATTTGTCCTCTCGCGCGCAGCATTACACAATAAGACTTATTGATCCATTATGAATAAATATGTAATAAGAAAAAGACACACTCACAAATATACATAACCAAAACACGCCTCTCTCGCGTTTTCCTCCCTCGGCACGCCGCGTGCTGCGCCCTGACTAAGACTAAATAGCAAAACTTTTCTACTTGCTTGAGTGCGCTTCAGAGGCTTGCGAGTGTAAAATTCTTTACCAACAAGCAGCTCTGATGCGCGTGTTAGTAAATTATTACGGAGTTGTTGTTTGGATTTTTTTTTTTAATTTTCATAGTGCTAAAAAGTAGATGTGTGATGCTATAAAAATTATCCTTTTTTTTAAATTTATTTTCAAACTCTAAACCAGCAAAATCTTTTAACTCTGAACTTGTACTGACAAAAATTAAAATTAAATAATTTTTTTTTTTTAATAAATTTAAAATCAGCATTTTCTCGTTTTGTTTTTATTTGTTTATTGTTTCGTACTAAACATTACCGTTTGCTTCTATGGAACATTAAAACGATTTAAAAACTCACCGAGGAAAAGCTGACATTAAATTCACACTGCAAATTAATCAACCTTCGGTACACTCACTATAATTCAGACACTCACCGTACAGTGAATTAATTCAATTTACAAATGTGTTTATATTTACAGATTCGATAACAATAGGTATAAATCTATGATTGGCTCCACAAATTTCAGAACACTGACCAAAATATAAACCATGCTTCGGTAATAAAAAGATTAATGGAAATTTTCATTTAAATTTTGAATTGAAAATTTTGCGCACTAAAGAATGTCAAAATTCTTAGCTAAAAAGCTAAAACACAAAATTAATCATTTAAACACCAACTGTCAACAGGATTGGTTTTTATTAAATTATTGTTTAACTGTTCAATAATTCCTTGTATTTTTATTGGGAAAATGAGGCAAAAAAATTGTATCAAAGCATTTTCTTTATTTATTATAGATTATAGCGTTCTTTTTTTTCTTTTTGCAAAATGAGGATTTGTCTGTCTTCTATTATTTTTATTTTTACCCAATTTTATTATGCAGTTACTGGGCGTTTGAAAGAGCTAGTGAATAATGGGAAAATGTTCAACTTAGAATTAATAATTTACTAATTAATTGTAAATTTTAAAGGATTTAGGATCCGACAAAAATATAAATCCATGGAATTAACTCAAAAATTAAAATTAGGACGATGAGGTTTTTTAATTTTCTAAACAAGTATGAGGGTCAAATCCAACAACAAAAATTTTTAATTTTTTTAAATTGTTTATTTTAGGTCTGATTGTGAATTAAATTGATTAGGAGCGTTAAATTATATTCATGCACGGATTATATTACATTGATAAGACTGTAATTGCAATAACCAAGCGTTAACAATCGTGGTTGAAAATCTCCGAATTTGAAATTTTGTACCAAACATAAATACATTTCTGCTGCGGACTCACTCGTGTTGACTAATGTCTCCTTTCGCCACGAATTTGGTTGCAAATGCTCTTATTGAGAGCATCAAGGTGCCATATGTCGCCTCTAGCCGGCGCACAAAAATGACACACACGCACAGAGTGAGTGTATGGGGCCGTAATAGCTTTCTGAGTGAGTAGAGTGGATGCTGCGCCCGCCCGCCCCCGGCAGGCATATTTTTATTGGGGCCGAAAATAAATAGCAAAATAATAATACGGGCGGGTGAGCGAGCGAGCGAGCGAGCGCCGGGACAAATTGCCCCGTGACACCAACAAATGACCTTTCCATTTGCATAAACCGTTTAGAATGGATAGATGTGAGCAGAGCAGAGCGCCAGATTGCGCACCTTTTCCATAGACAGCGGGATTTTTGCCCTTTCTTGTTAAGCCACTCTCGATCCCCTTCTTTTTCTGTGTGCGTGCATATGTTTCCCCCGAACACATTTTCTCCTGCTGATGGTGGAACGCGTCTTGACATGTGAATCTCGAAACAAGGACCGAAAGAAGGATTGCCTCAATTATTTCCAAAACCAACCGCTCCGATACTCGACACGTTTTCTTACTGCCAAACAGAGCAACGAAATTGAAAATTTTGGGAGATATATTATGGGAAGACTGATAAAATAAGAACTTTTAAGCAACTTTTTAGGCTCCAATTTTAGCCGGAAAAAGTCCCTGGAAATATTTATTACACTTCGGCAGAAAATCTCAAACTAAAAATATTATGTCTTATATTGTTGTAAACTTTATTATTTTCAAGAAGACAAGAAAATATAAAATATTCCATCATGTTCTTTATATTTAAAAAAAATTACTTTAATGTAATTTGAGCTAAATATTATGAAACAGTAACAATATTGAAAATTTATTAAAAAGAATTTTAGAAGAAATTGTAAAATATTTTTATTATTGCATTTTTTGTAATTTCCGTTATTTAATTTCGTGAGGTAAATTGAATTATTCAAAAACTTTTTGTCGGAATTATTGAGACTCTTGTATGCTCTTGTATAGAAAAGCGATCTGCAGAAAAACTGGAGCACATACGGAGCTGTTATTTTTTGTTTGCCTTTTTATGATTGCCTTTTTGGGCATTTCATTTTATTTTCCCTCGCTCGTTTTCCACCGAAATCGCGGACAGCCCGATTATTGCACGACACAAAATAAAAGATGCACGATCGGAACTTCATTCTTTCCCGCGTGTATGGCCTCGGAACACGCGAGAGTTTTCTCTCTAGCTTTCGCCTGTGGGTCGTGGAAAATGTTACGAGAGAGAACTATGAAGGTTCTTTTCTTTCTCTTCTTATAATACAAAAGGAATTTCAAATTAATGATAGAATACGACGGGGGTTCTCGTAAAATTATCATATTCTCAGAGATAAGCGACTAGTTTGATAACCAAGTGGACGCACTATTAAAAAGGCACCACAGAAGTTGGGGATAACTTTACAGAACTCAACTTTATATAAAGCATAAAGGCACTTTTTTCCGGGGATTTTGATAAATTTTAATTTAAAAAAATCTGCTTAATTTCAATAATTTCATTTTGTTTTTTTATCATAAAGTATTCAAACTGGTGGGTTTTTAAGTACTAAATTTTTAGTTAAAATGCTTTGATTGTTTTGGCTAAATAATTGCTTTTGTTGCTTATTTTAAATTCTTGACTAAACAAATATTATAAATGAATACAATTACTGATGTTCAATATTTAAAATAAATTTTATTTATTTATTATTCCTTTAATATTATATAATCTTAGCAAATGCAAACTATTTTATACATTCAAAAAATGTAATTATTTTGTTGAATATTATTAATTTGCTTACAATTTAGCTTTACAAAATAAACCCAAAAAGACTTCACCAGCCTTATATCAATTGAAGAAATTCCCATTACATGGAATTGATCAGAAAAATTGAATCAGGCGAAGATTTGGTGGAAAAGTCAGTCAGGAGAGGATCTCCTTGGGCTCAGGAAAGAATAAATTGCCGTGGGAGAATAAACTACTGGCTGTCACTTTCCTCTTGCTCTCTTTTCCTCCCTCGTGAGCGGCGGCGCGCAGTTATAAAACACTCAATCTGCATGTTCCATCCGACGGAATATGCGAGTTAATGGACCAAAGTGGCAGCACACAAGCTTCGCAGGATTTGCGACACTTCTACTATTGGACTATTGACAAATTGATGCATTCCAGCGCAGCCGGCAACACGCAAAATAGAGAGATAGAGTAGGGAAGAAAGAGAGGAAAAGAGGGACCAAAGGACGAACGTCTTTCTTCCTCTACGGAAAAAATCTCAGAACTTTTTTTTAATTAAAAATATATTTTGGCAAATTCTAATTAGCGTAAGGAGCAAAAATTGCAGTGCTTTTTAAGCCTTTAAACGTATTTTTTTACAATTTATGCGACCGTTTTTGTTGAGAGAAAAATTTGTAGCTAACATGTTCAGGAGATTTTGTGCAATTCTTTTACTAACATGGCCTTAAGAATGGACAAGTGGAAATTGGAATTTGGTCTCTTATCATAATTATGTTCTGCTGGGTGAAATCAAAACAAATTAAAAAATTTTTATAATAATTTCAGGAACAATAAATAATTAGCCCCAGAAATATTTTAATTTCATTTTTTCTACCAAAAATATCCAATGAGTTGGAAAACCTTTCAAATGGGGAGTGAACAATGGAAATCAGTACTTACTGCCTCGTTGTGGAATCTGAGCAGCTGTGAACAGAAACAAAACATTGCTATTAGTAAAAATTCAGAAACCTCAAATAAGATAAAAACATCAATCTCGTTAATATAAAAAAATCTGATATCTTTGTGCGCGGTTTTTGATCTGATTCTGGTGATAACAGCAGGGTAAGACATCGATTCCGAATCCCAACAACAAAACTTATCACTAGCATGACGGACACCAACGATTTCACCTAAATGTGGAAAAATTACAAAATTAAATATCAAGATACTATATAAATAACAGCTACAGGCCACATTTATTAATTTAAAAAGTTTAGGATTTAAAATTCACTCAATAGTGCAGACCGTTGTTGACATTGCAGTGCATTCCAGTGCAAATACAGGGTTGGGTTTTTAAATAAAAACATAACTTCATAATTTAAATGCTAACAAGGAGATTAGTAAGAAAATTAATTAATTAATGAACATTTTGAACCTTCATGCAAATTTTGATGAGTACAAAGGTATAACAAAAGGTCAGAGGGATCGTTTGACAGGCAATCGTATATCGACACTCCTTCAAGTATCGGACAGGTGTGTGTGCCTTTTGTCAGGGAACATAATATTATATATTAATTTCAGCCTTGAGTGGATTAAATTTTGGTCTTGAGAGAAGTTACGACTCAAAGCTTTGCTTTGATATCATCTGCCGGTGATGTTTAATTTTGAGAGTTTTGTTTCCTTTTTGCACCGCGGCTTTCCTTTCAAGTTATAATTGGTTGCGGCGGCGGTGGCAGCGGCGGAGAGGAAGAAGTGCACGGAGGGCGCATAAGAAAGAGGTGATATTGAGACTCACAAAGCGAGATGTTGATATGATAAAAGGAGAAGAGCGCACGCCCTTGGGCTGTGTTTTGCATGTGAAAGCTGGAAAGGAGCACGCGGAGTATTTCAGACATATTTTTTTTTTAAGAAATACTTAAACGTAAACACTTTACTCTCAACTTCAGAGAGGAATTTCAAGATGTAAATAACAAAAAAGTTGTTTTCATTATTAAATAAAGAAAAGTGCCTCGGCGGAAATTATTTTTATTCTTGATTTAAAAAAGACTTTGAATTTCATAACTGAAATGAAAATCCAGATAAAAGATTTTTCAATTCTAAGGGTTGAAAAAAGGGGTTTACTTTTTCCGTCAAAAGCATTGAAATCTTAAGGGTAGTTTTGATCTCAATGACTGGAAATAATACTAAAGCTTAGTTTGTTGATCATTTAGTGAACCAAGACAATGTTTCTAAAATGTTTCTTCGTGGGAAAATATGAACCTTCAATCATCCCATTGTATCCATCAGGAGATTTCAAATTTTCAGACTAACAACTTCACGTTCTTTTGAATTAAAGAATAAAAATAAGTTCTGAAGAGAACCTTACTTAAAAAATGAAAATTTTAAATCAAGATTAAAAAATTGTCATTTTGATAAAACATTCAAAAATGAAAAGATTTTGGATAAAAAGGACTGACTCGATTCATTTTTTTTGTACCTCCAGGCTGAAATTAAATATGGTAAAATTTCTGAAATGAAAGCAGGAATTAAATATACCACAAAATTAATTTGTTCCACATTGATATCTGCTTAATACAACATAACAGCCAGACTTCATATTGCACTCAAGGAAATTATTTTAAATTTTCTTCAAACTTGCAACGTCCGTTGGACCTGATTCCTGACTGGTTGAGCCGGCATTCAGCCAATCATAGAGTCAAGAGCGACAGAGCATTAAAATTTTTTCATGAATAATTTCCCCGTGAGCAACACTGCCAATTGAACGTAATGGAAGCATGCAAAAAGCAGCCACTGACACCAAGATGCACCAACAAGTATATATTTTTCAAAAATTTCCCGGACGCAATGAACAAACGAATTGCGAATTTGCTTTGCTAGTTGACGTTTCGCGCGACTAATATAGAGGAGTATAATTTTTATACTGTTAGTTAGGATTGTGAACTCACAAGCACGACGCCGAGGGTGCTTTCCTTCTTTTCGAGTTGCTGACTGCTCTCGCATTTACATTACGCATCTGGCAGTCTGGAACGAGAACAAGAGGACCAACTCAACACAACACAAATTGGCAAAACCGAGCATCGCTCCTCTTGCTGGAACAAGGTAGCGCGCCGCTTGACGCCTCAGCCTGCCTTCCGCAAACCAACGAATGTAAAAGCACTCTCCAATTTTTTTTTCTGTTTTTATTGCAAAAACCACCTCTCACCTCTCGGCGAGAACGAACGGAAAATGAGCGAAATCTGCTTCTTTTTATCGGAGATGTGTCCCCTTTTGCATTTTCAGCAGCACAGACAAGTCCGTCTCGCGACTTTTCTCCTCCCTTAATTGACACACGCGAATCCTCTGCGGCGAAAATTTAGCCAATTCCTCTGACAAAAAGAAATAACGAGACTACCAAAAAGGCCTTCAAAGGGAGGAAACGATTAAAGTTCAAATGAATTCTGAATTCTAGGTAAGTTAAATTATTCAAGCTCCTTCAAATACTGACAAATCTTGATAATTGAAAATTTAATCTATTGAAGCGTTCTAAAACTGATAAATTTAACAGTATTTATTAAAAAAACATAATGCCATTTAATTATTCAAGTTTGTTGATTACAAAATACTCAGTAAATTTTCTTTTCATAAATGAAACAATTTTGGCTAAATTTATATTAAAAAAAAAAAAATTAAAATTGTAAATAATTTAACTTTTCAATTAATGTAAGGTAAAATATTAAATCTAAAATGCTTTCTGAACTTTTAAGTCAATAAAATATAACAACTCTAACGCTCTTAAAAAATTTATCAGCTGTAAAAAATAGTCAATTTTTGTCCAAGCATGTTTTCTCAACTGGAAAGTTAAATCAGCAGAACACATGAACTTGTGATTAGTTTTGAAATTCTTTAATTTTCAGACGCAACTTCACTTATTGAGCATAATCATGTTTATTAAAGACTCTTATAGCAGCAAAGATTGTTGAAAAAAACGATTTAAATAAAAACAATTATTTAATTCTTCAGAGTACGTCTTAAAGACTTACATTTTAAAACATAAATATTACTTTGGCTTTCTTAAAATCTTGGTGAATAAATCGTACATAGTGTTTTGGTACCTCCAGCTATATATTAAAATTATTATTTAAAGAGAATATTTTTTTGGTCGAAAAGTAATTTAGGCAGTGCCGAAGAAAAATGTTCACTTTCGGAACGAGAAAGAATTGATTCGTGCGCAATTTATCAGGTCTCGGAAGAAAATTATTTTTTATCCCAGAGACGGGGGGGACTGCATTTCGGTTGGTCGGGTCGGTTTTAAATAAGAAAGGAGAGAGAGAGAGAGAGGATGAGCGCAAGAAGTAGATTTATTGGGAGCGCGTGGTGCAAGAGTGACGCGAATCCATCAGGCGCGTGCGAGAACGGCTGTGTGTTTGCTGTAATTAATTATACCGACTGCCAGGCAGCCGCCAATCGTGCACCAAATAAAAGTGTCTCAGGTGTCGGACAACATTTTTATACAAGTGCCACCCTACAAGTATTAATCAATTAGAAAGAGCCCCCGAAAAGAAGCTTTGAAATTTATATACATCAAACTTTGGACCAAGTTGATAATTTTTCCAAAAGTTTCTTTCAAAACGAATGTCTTTCTTTATTTCCCTCTGCTTTCGCAAGGCACCTGAGATGACGAAATGTTTGCACAAGTCATTATCAGGCCGAGCCAGCAGGCTGATTCAATAAAAGTAGCACTTGCCGAGCAGGGGCTGTTGAAGTGACTTGTCCACCTGCCCCGCACCTATATAGCCGCGCGCCATTGTGATAATGCCACTTTGGCCCGTGTCGTCTTCTTATCGCGCCCACCGACCCTCCTGCCAACCAAACACCTCCTTTAATGCATTATTTTTGTTGTCGGAGGCGCGCACTACAATTATGTTATTATTATTTCTGCTTATCGACGTACACCGGCGGCGACTTTCTTTGATGACAACTTTTCGGCACACTTTATGTGGTCTAACAACTTCCATTTAATTCTGTTTCAAATGAATTTCTCATGTAAATTATTCACGAATTTTATTTCAATAAAATGTGCAGATTTTGGAAAACTGAATTCTGGCAAGTTAAAGAAAAACTTAACATAAATGATTGCTTGTAAAGAGCAATTCCTATGTTCACGTTTAGTCCAAGTAAGCGTGACTTAATTTGTTCAGGTTACAATTAGAAGAATTATATGAAATTTATTAAACTTCGAACATTAAAAAATTTCTGGTTTTTCTATGCTGTACAATTTATGAAACGCTGATAAAAGCAAAAGAATCTGATTCAATCCAGCAGCAATACTTTGACACAAATACGACCTTCCTGAAAACTAGTGAAAAGTCAGAACTATGCAAATTCTTGACAAATGTGTCCAGCAGGTTGCATTAAAAACTTCAGAACTGCTATATTATAGCAAAAATATGCAAATTTCAATCCAATGATCTCCAAAAACTTGATTTGTTGCAGATTAAAAAATTTAATAGACTGTTAAAGACAATTTTCTAGATCTCAGTCTGACTGTTCCAATGTCAGTTCAGGTGTTCTATTGTCAGTAGTGAAGTTTATAAAATTGTTATTGCTCAATGCTCTAGGCAATCATATATTAAAAATTTAAATCATATAGTAAAAAATTTGCTTAAAAAGAGTCAAATGAAATCGGACATTATAATCAGAAAGAGCTTTGCGAGTGGAAAAAGTAGAAAAATTTGAATTTACAAAAAATCGTTCCAGTTGCACACAATTAGATTAGGTTCTTAAAAAAAGAAACACTTTAAAGCACTAGTTTCACTTCTATATTTTGACAGTTGACGGACAAAATATCAACAGAAGTGAAGACCCTAAAGGAGTAAAAATATTTTTATGGATTTGGTTGAAAATTATATAAATTTCAATTCACTAAATAAAAGAGTATGACCACTCTTTGTAATCTCTTGTTTTTAGAAGTTCTTTTCTCCAACTCTCAAAGAGCTATTATTAGT